TTTCAGATCTCATCAGTTTCAATGGGAGATTTAAGCAGAAGTTTAAATCTATGGGACCTACTTCCCAAGCAATGAGGTTAGTGTCAGAGCGACAGTAGAACAGTCACCTGTTGGCATGCGCTTTCTATCAGCTTCCCTTTCCATTGTAAGCAGAGGACAACAGTAAGAATGATAAAGTAAAAAACAAAGACCAAAAGACGGGGAAATGATCTGTGTGACCAGTTTTGTTCATTTTCTGTTAGAAAATATGACCTCTTCATTTGTCAAAAGGTCCAAGTTTTAGCAGTTGATCTTCAGCTTAGTTCTCAGCAGTTTGGAGAGCCAAAGAACAAACACATTTTCTGGTTCACTGGCGTCGTTTTCACATGTTCACTGATTCAAACATTCTTTTACTCAGATAACAAACAGCTGCATACCACATTAGCCCAGCCAGTGACAGTCACACATCTCTGCAATAACTGTTTGATTGCAAACTTGACCCTTTCTTCTTCTCAGCCTGAACTAGACATTTTTTTAAAAAACAGCCACTCCATTCCCAATCCTCCTTTGCAAAGAATTACATCAGATAACAAAGACTTCTCTGCCACTCATTGTAAGCTTCTTCTAGAGATCTGTTCTAAGAGGCAGTGTGTATAAAGGGTTTTTTTATGATGAATTCAGAACTACTATCATGTTAAGAGCACCAATTTATAAAAAAAAGAATTCATTGGTTAAGATCTGGAAAAAAAATAGTTTCTCAGGCCCTACTGACCCAGTTTGCAACAAAAAAGGAATCGAGTGATGCAAATTAAGTTCTGAGACATTGTTATGTGGGCTTAGAAATTGGTTAAACAGTGTTTTTGTAGTAATTTCTTAATGGCTGTCTCGGTGACTCTTTTGCTTTAACTTTAGGAATCACAGACTTCCTTTATTTTCTGCAGGTTTATCTTCAATAAGTAGCAATAATTATGCAGCGATTTAAATCTATTTCTTTGGGAACCTTACAGTGGGTAAAAGAGTAGTAGAGAATTTCCCCCCCTCCAGGTTAAATTAATAGAACATTATTGCATTTAGCAAAAAAAAGTTAACGCTCTACTATTTGGCATCTTGCATCAATGACATGCCTCATCATTTGGATGCTGCATTTCTATTCATAGACAACAAAGAAAACAATTAGAAATTATTCATTCAACTCACACGACTGAAAACTAAAATCAGTACATAAGTCTGCAAGTTTGGAATAAATGTCGTTGAACCTATGGTGCTTCAATCATTATAAACAGTAAAAAATTAATTTAAAAACCCAACATGAATTGACTAAGGCACAGAAATGCAGGTTCCACTTTGACAGTGAGAGCAACGCAACAGGGATAACTTTACAGTATTTCCTGAGATAAAGGAAGATTAAAGACAAACAGACTGTTTTCGCTTATGGTTAGTGTTGGCAAACTTTTGGCTCACTGGAGAGAACTGGAGAGGGATGCAGGGTCATAAAACCACAAATTTTGAATACGGGAAGGCAAAGAGTGGGCACATAGGTGCCAACTCCCTGGGGCCCTGGGTGCCTGAGCACCCACAAAATTCCCCATGGAGGGACTGGGCACCCACAAATTTTGGTGCCAGGGCTATGCACACATCATCACACCCACAACCCCGGGCCAAGCTGATACTCCTGGTGGGGCATAAGAAGGACCCTGCTGGATCAGGCGAATGCCACATCCAGTTCTCACAGTGGCCAACCAGGTGTCTGTTATGGGAAACCTACAAGTAGGGCACTTGAGATTTCCAGCAACTGGTATTCAGGAGCTTACTGGGCGAAGAAAGAGAGCATCAGTCATCTGTCTTGACTCTCCCACTTTCATACAGATGATGCTCGGGCAGCTGGAGGCAGTGCTTATATGGGAACAAGCTGGGAGATCATTAAATGAGATTAGCTGAAGGGCTGGTCTAGACACCTGCTGCTGTTTGTTTGTTTGTTTGTTTGTTTGTTTGTTTGTTTGTTTCGCTACCCTTCACCCTAAGGTCCCACAATAAAAAACAATTTAAAACAACTTCCAACCATAAAAATAAGGTGGGTCCTAAAAACATACACCTCAAGTTTCAAAAGCAAAGGTACAGACATGTGCTCAGCATTCTGCAAAAACTGTATAATGAAGGTGCAAAACACACCTTTGTGGGAAGGGAGTACCACCGTATAGGGGCTGCCACAGGGAAGGGCGATCTCCATCTCCCCCCAAGCACTGGCGGAGGAATGGGGGTGCAGAGGGAGTGGACTGCCCCCGGTACCACTATTCCATCTATGGAATCGCGGCGGCCCCCCCGGACACATGGCGTGCACCCCTCTGCGAGCAGGTCACCACACCCCCAGAACACATGCCACGCCCCCAGAATGCATACCATGCCCCTGCAGGAGGCGCGCCACACCCTCATGGGAGGCATACCATGCCCCTGGGGGGCGCCAGCCACGCCCCTGCCTGCTCGCCACCCCCGGGAGCGGAGCATGCAGCTTCGCCACTGCCCCCAAGCCTCTGAGGGTGGAATAACTACCAAGAGTGCCCCCTCTGCTGATTTCAGCACCCAAGAGGGTCCTGTATGGGCAAAGGTCTTTCACATATTTGGGGCCTAAGTCATTTGGCCCTGCTTCTAGGACCAAATATTCCATTAGTACTTTTGTTTGGCAGAACAGGCAAAATCTGAAAGGGCTTGGTTTCATCATTCATAGTTTTAATGGCAGCTTTGAGATCTACATGCCAGGGCTGATGTGCAAACAGGCAGATTTCAAAAGTCCAGAAGACAAGAAACAAAATGGACCTGATGAAGAGGATTTCTCGCATTCTTGCACAGGTTGTCAAAAGCTTCCTAACTATGACTTTCACAAGAAAGGTAGCAGCAGATTCGAAAATGGCTAAGGCGACTTCTTTTTCAGGTGATTATTCTAAAGCAAATGCTGCAGACACGCTGGCCAACCTTTGAGGAAATTGTTCGCAGTGAAGTGGCAACAGCAAAAAGCACAAACTATTTTTTATGTTTAGAATGTTGACAAGTTCAGCTTATGTAGAGAAGAAAATCTTTATGCTGTCCTATTGAATTTTCAATCCTCCTAAAACAATCCAAACAACTGAAACCAGCTCTCTCCTGCTTTCCTCGTTTCCTACGCACACAGGATTTTCAAATGTGTTTCACCACTAATAAATTGTAAATGAGGCTACAGTTCTAAGAGTAGTCAGTGTGTTTCATGGGTATTTAAACAACAGCATTAAGCACTATAGGAATCTGTGGAATGCAGAGGACAGATTTATGTGTCTTAAAGTGTTTCTTTACTGGTTTGTTATAAGCCAACCCCAAACCAGCACTTTCTTTCATATTAATCTGGCCTTAGAAACGGAGGATACTGGAGCATGACAAGAACAACAGAAATAAACTGGCATCTACTTAATAACTGTAACAGTGGATTGCCTTCAATACTAAAATATTTATCGAAACTAAGGGAGGGGGTGAGGCTGAAGAGAATTGCCTTCAACAGCCTGCTACCAGATCTTTAACAGTGGGCAATGTAATGCCTTAAGGTCTCTCAAACTGTCTTTCATTTTCTAGACTTAATGGCTGATTGCAGAAATCAATGTTGCCATTAGTAACAGAGTATTTGTTATGGCATGATTTCCTCTGTTGTTAGGCCTGCAGAATGATTACAATATTAGTGAGGTGCTTTTGTTATAAAGGGGCTGAAGATATAACTTTCAATTTACTATCCATTAGTTGAAGAGTCGAGAAATGAGAGATGAAGCCAGAAATCTTACCTTTCTTTTTTGCTTTGGGGGGGGGGGGAAGAGTGCCAAGGAAGCTCAATATTGAAGATAGCTTCAATGAAATATTATTTTGCTTTCCTGTTTGGTACACAGCAGGTTGACATTAAACACAACAGAATATTTTTTTAAAGAAATCATTTCATCCTTACGTGTGTGTGTGTGTGTGTGTGTGTGTGTGTGTGTTTTCAGCTCAGGAGTGTGCAGTCTGTGGACAGCCACAGGGCAGCAATAGGGGCACATATAGCTTTTCATTCAACTCTACGTATGTCCCCAAACCATGTGTATTCCTGGCCTCTGGCCTTAAACGTACACCACAATTAGTCACATAAATGAACCGTGTCCCGCCACTGAATATGGCCTTGTCAAAAGGCAGCAAGGGCAGGGTTTCAGGAAAGGCTTAATGGAGAAGTGAATGGGAGTCAGCATGTAGCTATCTACAGGCTGAATGTCTCTACATTAAATAGATAGTATTGCATATATCCAAATTAGCATATTAATATACAAGCAAAAAAACAAATATTGCAGCAATCCTACTGAACTTAACAGTGTGTGTATGATCAAGGCAGAAGAAGGTGCCTTGCAGGATCAGGTCAAAGGGAGCCTATTAAGTCCTGCATCTTGTTTACACAGTAGCCAACCAGATGCACCAATAGGATGCCCACTGGAAGGATAATGGGTGACAGCGCTTTCCCTACTCATCTGCAGCAATTGATATAACCGCCTCCAAATCTTGAGGCAGGACACAGCCATCATGACTAGTAGCCTCATCCTCAATGAGATAACAACGTTTTCCAGAGCATGCAGCTTACAAACCCATTTGATCCCTTCTCAGACAAATGTTGCTAAGAGTTTATATTACCCTTTCACTTGAAAGTGGGAGCCTGTAAGGATGAGAACTTAGCAGTAATAGTGAAAAATGGAATAAAAAAAGGAAAGGATCTCTCCCATGGCTCTCCTCTGTTTTATGAAAGCAACCACCATTTTTCACCACTACCACATGTGGAACAGCTAAGTACAGCATAAATGGAAGGTTGGGAAGTAGAATAATACAAGGATAATGCTTTGAATAAGTTGCAGGCTTTGAACATGATATCTTTTTTAGCAATCTGATGGGAGGCATTGCTATCTTATTAGAATCTGCAGGCAAGGGACGAATTATATAAATTAGTCCAGATTGTGGGCAGGGCGGGGGGAGAAAGATTAAATTTGGCATACCTGAAGAAGAAGGTGAAGAAGGATGTGGGCTGTCTTCCTGGGCACTTCCTGTCTGAGAGAGGCCACCACCCATTCCACTTTCCTCAGTAATGTTGGAGGACCCAGGCGTTGTCGACCGGCTGACGGACTGAGACTCCTGGTCACTGCCTGACCCACGACGCTCTTCGATGCTCCCCTGAAGGATCTCTTCTTCTACCTTCCTGTCTCTCTTGTGGACTCTGGAATGAACGACGACTTGGTGGTATGTTCTGAAAACCCTGCCGCAGTCGGGGCACTCGGTTGGCTTCTCTTTCACGTTGCTGTGGCTCTGCATGTTGAAATCGAGCCCTTGGTTCATGCCGTGAGACAGAAAATCTCTACTGCCTTCCAAAGGGTCTAGTTTGTTTGACAAGTCTCTCTGATTGCCCATTTTAGTGCTGTGAACCAAATCAGCAGGCATTTTCTGCTTGGAGCCATCTGCTCCTACTAACACATACTCCCGCTTCTCCTTATCAAACATAACGCCGGCGTTTGTCAAAGTGTCTTCGTGGCTTCGCTGGATCTGGTGCTCTTTAGACAGAAAGCCATGCTCCATGGCCATGCCTCTTGCCATCAGCTGCCAAGCCTGATAGCTGTTTACAGGATCCATCTCGGCTGCCTTGGCTGCAGCCTGGAGCCTTTCTATACAGCTGGATTTGAGAGGAGGCACGAGGTTAAGACAGCCCAACAAAGAATGCTTGTCCCCATCAGTGAGGCTATGGCCAATGCCAGCAATAGGGGACAGAAGCTTGCCCAGCATTTCCCTCTCTTTCATGGGCAAGTCCCCCTTGTTGTAAGTCTGATTCTGCTCACTTAGACCTGCTTTGTCAGGAGGAAGGAAGCCGCTTTGCAAACAGGATAAGTACCTTGAGTACAAGTTGGCGTGAGCTTCCTGTGACATGCTGCTGATGGACACAGGGACTTCTGAGTCATTGGGAGATTTGTTTTTCACAGACAGCTTGTTCAGGTGGACCTTCATGTGGTTCTTCAGGAACCAGGGCTCTTTAAAGCGCCTCCCGCAGATTTGGCAGCAGTGCTCAAACGAATCCTTGTGCTTCCTCATGTGGCCCTTAAGGAACCAGGCTTGGCTGAAGACTTGGCCACACACCTCGCACCGGAACTCATTCGCAGCCTGCTCTCCACTCCCATTCGAGCCCTGCCCCTGAGCCGATTCAGCAGTGATGTGCGCTTTCTCCACGTGGCTGATCAGCTCCTCTTCCTGCGATGCGGCAAAGTCGCACAAAGTGCACTTGTAAGGCTTGTGAAGGATCCTGATGTGCCTGTCAAGCTCCTCCCGCTTCTTAAACTTTCCTTTGCAAAAAGTGCACCTGAAACCAGCGGCGGTTGCCACCACTTCTTCCTGTACGCTGGCTGGCTTTGGAGAGGGAACAGGGTTGGAAATGTCAGGGGTGTTGTGATTAGTGGGCACAGACAGGTTGCAATTAGCCAGAGGCATAGGCTGAGAATGCGGGTGTGCTTTGACGTCAGGCCTTGGTTGCAGATGGCTGCTCTTCATCTGCTTGTCCCGCAGTATCGCCCTCTCTTCCAGCTCGTGCAAGAGCCTGTTTTCTTCTCGAACCCTCCCGCGGCCTTTGCCGAGGTTTCCGAGCTTGTGGGTGCGCAGGTGGATCTTCAAGTTTCCCTTCTGAGCCGCTCTGTGGTCGCAATAGGGGCACTTGAAAGGCTTCTCCCCCGTGTGGGTGCGCATGTGGAGCGACAGGATGCTGTTGAAACGGAAACGCTTCCCACATAGGGGACACGGGTATTTTCTGTTCTTCCTGGCATCGTCCTCTATATCACTCATCTGGGACATGATGCCTAAGTTTTGTCCATTCAAGAACTGCTGCAAGTCGACCCGCCCGTTCAAACTGGTATCAACCTCTCTGCTAAGCTGGTTGGCTAACAGGGCCATCTGACTGCTGATGGGCTGGTTTGCTAAGGACACGTGGCTCTTGTCTTCTAGGAGCGTTGCTGTCTTTTCATCGGGGTTCTGCCTATTCTGAAGCTCTGGGAATGCATGGCTCAGCTGGGATGTGATCTGGTGGAGCTTCTGGCTCATTGAATACTGGCCATTGAGGATGGAGCTGTTGAGGTGGGCATCAGCTTCGGACACAGCTGAAGAAACGCCAAGGCACAAACTAGCTTCCTCCATCCCTGAAAAGATGAAGAAGGGTTTTAGATTTAGACCTATGAAAAACTGATTGCATTCAAAGTGCACCCAAACATATCAAAGAACTTCAATCAATGCCTCTATACATACATACCATATATATATGTATGTATGTATATATATTTACGAAAGCAAATATATATATATATATATATATATATGCGCAAGTGTATAGTGTACTATTGTGATTATGTTTCGGCTTAATTATACAGTGCCTTATCATCCTGCATACTTTTTGATTGCATGTATTAATTAGGATATTAAAATGAACACATCATCAGTTTGAATATCTAACTCTTAAATAAGTCAGGCTCAGCTTTCAACTTCGTTCAGCCCCTTTCCTGTGAAATGGCACCTGTTTACATTTTCCAGTCTATATAAGAGAGAAATGCTATGCATCTTGCTTGCTTCCCCTTTAAAAAAACAAAAATAGAAATCCATTTATAAAACTTTCAGTCCCATTAAGCATATTCAATAAATTCCACATTCTACAATGAGAAAGATGTTTTTATGATTTGACCAAGGGTGGGGAGGGGGGGAGATGGCATGATATTTACTGGTACACAATAAAACAAGATAATGTTTGGGGGGGGGAATAAAGTAAAGGACAAGCTTTCGAACAATAAAAAGGATTTTGCTTTAGTCAACAAAAAGTGCAGTAATATCTCATTAAGCTGATTAGTATGCGGCTTAGAAACAGTACTAGGTGCTGTAACACATGATTATAATCATAAAAATCCTTCAGTGTTTGCAAGTAAGCATTAACGAGGTATATTAAATTTTAAGGAGACTGCGACTAGCAGCTTTGCAAACCTCTGAGATTAAGATTTAACCCTTATGTTACAAAGCAATTGTTCCTCCATCATCTGAAAATGGTACCCATCTAAAGAGGCATAAATTACCTCCTTAATTTGTCATGCAGATCATTCAGATATTCATGGTTAGAAAAAAGTTGCTTAATTTTAGCTAACCGTCTTCATTTCGCAATTGGGGGAAAGAGGCGATCTAAGGGACTCTGATTAGCTTTAAAAGAGCTCTCTTCTAGAACTCGATAAAACCCAATTAAAAGCCAGGGAAGGTGTCACAGGAAGCTTCAACAAGTTTAAGTATTTTTAATAACTTTCTCAATATACAGTAATGAGTACAAATGGTACCTACAAACTGTGTGCTGCAGAAAATTAGAACTCAAAGCTGTTTGTTAAACAGGAGCGCTCTGTGCTGGTCAGCATAATTGTCCCTAATAATAATAATCTTCTCTCCTTGCCATTTTCTCTCCCCCATTCAAGGAATGGGGGTGGGGGGGTGCATCAATAAAAACTCAATTTTAAAACTGTACGAACTGTTACTTCTGAGAAGCACTTAGAAATGGAACTTCTACAATCCAATGAAAACACACATTAAGATCTGCGCTCTAAATTCTTTCAGTCTTTCTGCACTATGAAAATGACAAAATTCCTTCATCATGAGAATAGGCCACTTAATCCTTCACATATTTCCAAATTTAAAACATTTTGGCTGTCCTCCTTGGTCCAGAGCAGGGGTTATAAAACTTTGTCAAAACAATCAGTAGTCTCTTAAGGGAAGGAACCTCTTCTTCTGCAGTGGCTCATATAGCTTTTTGTCATTAAACATCCCTTAAACCTTATTTGGCACGCCTGGGATCCCTTTGCGCTTTTTCTCATTGAAATACCAAATCTTGGGCCGGGAACCCAGAAGTTCCTAGTAGCCTGAGCCAGCATGGCCAAAAAGCAAGAATGATGGGAGCTGGAGTTCAATAGCATCTAGAGGGGCCACAGGTTTCCAACACCTGTCAAATATCTCCGCCCCCCACAAACCTCTTAAGCAATGTTTCCCACACAGCATTTCAAATTGCATGCTTATATTGCTGTACAGATCAGACAGAAAGCAGAGGTGTCTTCCTCCAACGCCTGATTTGTTTCCTCATACCAACTTCGAATTCACTGAAGCTGTTGGCTTGGCAGGTCCAAAGGCTGCCAGAACTATATGACACACCTCAGCTTTCTATTTTCTAACCCGATGGATACTGGTTTGAGGAAAAGCACATTGGACAAGAGCATTTCTCAAGAAGCTACAGGATACCTATGGGTGCAGCTTAACATCGCAGGTCCTTGGCTTCAAATATCAGCTGTAGGAGCACGATGGAGCCAGAGCAGGTGGAAATGTGTAAGCAGCCAAAGATGATTTATTCCCTTGCAATGGGAAGGCTGTTGCATAACAGGGCTTTTGGTCTGAGACTAGAACGACACTTTTTAAAAAAACATTCTTGTAAGAAAGAATGCTTGGTCATTTCTTGTAAGAAAGAAGATTTGGATATCATTACTTTGCTAACTAGACTGTGAATCTTTTTACAAGGCTGATTTGAGGTACAGGAACACTGGGCTAATGCTTTGTTTTCCTGCTTTTTTAATGTCATTTACCTCTTATGGTGGTAGACAGGAAAATATTAATACTTTCATCTAATCATTGTCATGTAGAAGAAATCTCTAATGGTGAAAAACTATGCCAGGATCAGGACAACAAATCTGGAGGACACAAGGCAGCTTTTAACTTCTGTTTCTTAAACAGTAGCTCTGGATGGTGCCCAGAAAGCTATTTCTGGGACTTGGGGTGGTGGAGCTTCAAAAGCACTTTGTAATACAGCATGGACTGGGGTCTATGATTCAAATAAAACAAGGGCAAAAATCCCACTGGCTGTGCCTACACACTTGGACTTTCTTTTTTATAAAAAAAAAATCCTCTTTGGATCCCAGCCTTAATATTCCAGAAAAATGAATGAATCATAATGCTTGCTGTGCTATATTGTGCATGTCCCGGCCTTGTTTGAAATACAACCATTTTTGCACCAAGGAATTTACTTGAAACCACCTACACCTTCAAATAACAATAGCAATCTTACACTGGTCAGTTGCCCATTATTTTTAAAGTGAAGGGCATGCAAATTTAGGAGGGATGGGGGAGAAATAGGATTCAGTTCACATTTAATAGTGAACCTACCTTGTTTACACTCTCCCCCACAAAAAAAGAGAACTAAAATGCAGACATCCTTCAAGATTCACACTTCTCCAAATTTTCAAATGCAGTTCTCCAGCCAAGTAATGTGTACAAGGATGCATATACGCAGGTAAAGTATGCTTACAAATGCATGTACTGGTAAAAATAACAGTAAATATTGCACATATTTTTTTAAACATTGTTTATCAAATTCAATATTATGATTAGAAGAAATGCACCCTAAAATGCTGGTGAATTTTCATGAGTATTTAATAAATAATAATAATAATAATATCACAAACTGATGTGGAAATTTGGAGAATTGAACTTAAGACTGGGAAAAGGAGCAAGAGGGAGAATCCCAAAATTTATTTTCCCATCCCTAATAAGCACCAAGGTCCATTTAATTGTTTTCACAAGTGAAAACAGAGATCAGCTTGAAACCCTGAAGTTCTCATGTAAACGATGCTCTGACACCCATATTCAACTATTTTTCATTGCTGAAGGTTCTTATCCACCTGTTTTAAGCTGGTTTCATTTATTACGCAATAGCCTATTTTCCGCCAATTTAGAAGCCAAGAGAGTATTTGTTCTTTTCATTACAGTCATGCTAGAAAAAATCTAATTGCCCTGCAATAGGTTATCAACAGTTCAAAATATATCCCGGCAACTACATGGTATGAAATTGCAGGCTGTGTACTCCATGATGTCTCAGTGTTCATCTGTATGCATATGCATTAGGGACAAGAGAGTTTTACTTATCATCATTCTGATATTATATTCCTAAGTATATGTCCAACTTTACCAATCACCCTAAGAATGCTCAGCATCTCCAAAAGGCAGAACATGGCAGGGGGTGTGGAATAGGAATTCACCAGGACCAATTACCAGAAATTAGAAATATACCAGAAAATACCAGAAACTACTAGCTCTCCTTAGTAAACAGAGACAGTTGTAACATATATAATACACAATCAACAAACTGTAGCTGATCGGAAAACCTCATGCGGTCTGAAAAACAGGGCAGTGCCCTGTCATCATCTGTAAATGACACCCTTGCCCTTATATGCATGGAAATTTGCAACTGCTTTTACTCAGTGTTTCCCTTCTCATAGAAGATCAAGGCCACTTGAATTTCTGAATACTCTGAGTAACTGCAGAATCACACCTTTTACCCTTTACATTTTACATTCAGCCAGTAGGAATGTTCTTGGGAGCAGAGATTATTTATCACCCATAGATGTTCAAGACCACTTTAGTCCTGAGTAACACTTGAATTGAGTATTATGGAGAAAGCCTTGTAGAATGGATGGCGAAATTTTGTTAAATAGGAGTCTTATTGTTGTAGCCGAGATGCGGCTTAACTAAGGTTGTTATGATGTGATAATATACTCCTGTTAAGAAATACAGAGCGCCAGACTCCTGAACCTTTTCAGGGTCATTAAGCAGCTGTAAACATTATTACAAAAATAAACCAGAGATTTCATGCTTACATTTTAGCCCAGAGCTGGGTGTGCTGAGCAAGTGCATTTTTTTTTATCTCTTACAATCAACGCTGGTGACATTTGGGCATCCAAACAAATTACATCACAAATATTACTGCACTGGTCAGGATATGGAATGGTTTATTTGCCAGATGATTAATAAATAAACAGTAGGGCGGTATGGTTGACCTATTCTTCGTTGACAGATATGTAGGCAATGCTAAAAGACATGGCTGAAATAGTTAAATCTTGGCAGAAGCAGGAAGGAGGGTCTATTCATCTTAACAGGATTATTAGACTCAATCAGCCGAAGCATAACTGACATTGCACTGGATTTTGATCTATTCTTTTGTTTTTCTTTCAATCCAGTCTACCTCTATGTGCAATAATTTGGTCAAGCATTGCTGGTTAATTTTTATTCACAAGTATCATTAAAATTAAGAATTAAATACTGCATGGGCAGTGACATATTATATTGTAAATATATT